TTGCAGCATGAATGAGCATACAACTAATGATTGTCAAATGATCCTTGTCGGAGGGTCTACCCAAGAAAATGCCAATTTTGTGAATAATCAGAGGAATAATCCCTACTCTAATACCTACAATATCGAGTGGCAAAACCATACAAATGTTTCTTACAAAAACAACCAACCTCAACAGATTTTGGAAACCCTAACCACTCAAGAGAAATCTAACCTAGAGTTGATGGTGGAGAACTTTATGGCGACACAGATTCGACTAAATGAAGAATTTAAAAATCAAAATCTCCACATCAATGAAGTCCTTGGCCAACTAGTTACCAAAGTGGAAAATATCACCTCCCATAACAAAATGTTGGAAACCCAAATCTCTCAGGTTGCGCAACAACAAACTTCATTTTCCATTCCACAAGGGTCATTTCTGGGGTAACCCAAGCAAAGTCCTAAGGGGCAGATGAATTTTGTGATAACAAGAAGTGGTAGACCTTTGGTAGCCTCCAAAGAGAAGGTGAAAGAGAGAGAAAATGAGAAAGCAAAGGAGGTTGAGGGTATTTCCAGTAATGGTAATAAGGAAATAGAGGTTAGTGAACCTACACCTCCTAAAAAGGTGGGTGTTGAAAATGTTGAGAAGAAGGCACCTTATATAGTCTTTGCTCCTTAAAAACCACTCATCCCCTTTCCGCAAAGATTTGTGAAGGCTAAGGTAGATGCCCAAATCAAAAGTTTTATGGAACTTCTTAAAAAGATCCACATCAATGTACCCTTTACCAAGGTGTTGTCCGAAATGACCACTTATGCCAAGTTTCTAAAATAGATCCTCTCTAACAAGAGAAAGTTTGAGGATCATGAGACGGCGACTATGACTGTTGAAAGCAGTGTTGTGATTAGAAACATGCTTCCTAAAAAGTCAAAGGATCCAGGAAGTTTTTCTATCCCTTTCCAAATTGGAACCATGAACTTTGAGAGAGATCTATGCGATTTAGGGGCTAGCGTTAGCTTGATGCCCCTATCGGTCTGTAAAAAATTAGGCATGAGGGAAATGAAATCGACTAATATCTCACCACAACTTGCAGACAGGTCAGTTAAGTATCTCGTTGGTGTGTTAGAGGATGTTCCTGTAAGGATAGGTGAATTATATATTCTCGTTGATTTTGTTATCATGGAAATCGAAGAAGATTCTCAAATCATGATACTGCTAAGAAAACCCTTCTTAGTCACGGATAGGGCCATTATTAATGTTAAGAAGGGAATTTTAACTTTTGAGGTTGGTGAGGAGCGGATTGAGTTCATTCTAGCAAAACTCATGAAAAATTAATTTATAAAGGACTCTTGTTGTTTGGTTGATAAGTGGTGAGTCCCTGGCCACCAAGTTTGGTTGATAAGTGACGAGTCCCTGGCCAACATTCCCTGTTGAAATTCTGGTCGATATGAGAGTGGGTGTGAGGAAAGCTTCCAAAATATGGAGGGCTTCAGAATGTGGTTCAGGAGAAAGAGTTGGAAATTCTCTCTTCAACTAATCTGGCACATGACTTTGACTGACAAATGAGGCCATGGAAGAGACAAATATAGCACATTTTCATACATAAAGAAATGGTTCTTTAAGGCTTCTTTGATCGAAAGGTTAGTATCTTCTGGAGTAAGCAGAACGATCCAAGTACTTTCAACCCATCTATCTTTAATTTGTTGTGTTAAGTCATATGGGATGGTAACCTTTTGCGAAGGTTCGAATGTGGCATTAAGCCAAAGTTATAGAAGCCACATAGGGAAAGAAACCAAAAGTTTATTGTCGGTATGGTTTATAGATTTCAGTTTGGAGGCAGTAATCCTTAGGGATTTATAAAGGGAACCTGAGATTAGTTTGTTGAGACTAATGTTTCTCCCCTCATGGATCTAAGTTGCCAAAGTTATGAACTTCTTGGTGATCTATAGAGAACTAAAGCAAAAAAAATGAAATGGGATAGCTAGAGGGTGAGGAAAGAAATATGTTCATAGACAGAAATCTCTCTTGCATTCTCATGTTAGTCTTTGATATAATTACTGAAGCCTGGAAAAGTGAAAGAAAAATTAGGTTTGATTGGGTGTTTGATAGTGGGTTTGAAAGTATCCCCAATTGGTCGAAGACTAGTGATAGTAGCCACATCGAAGAGATTGGACGTTATCATTCTATAGAGGGGTTGAAAGGTGTTGGTTGAACCCTCCCAATAGTAAATGGCTAAAATGAGTATATTGGAGTTGTATTTAGGACCAGTTCTAGACAACTGAACCAAGTTCTAAATACCTTGGTTTTTTCATATTTGTATTTCTTCTTTTTTACTTTATTCAACCAATTGATATAAGCTTCATTGTTGATGGTTGGAGAAGAACGAAACACACATAAGGGTGAACTCATAAAACCTAATTCATAGATCGTGTTTTCAAATGCACGAGGTTTGCAAAGATGATGAAAAATTTTCTTAAGCTTATAAAGTTTAATAGAGAATCTGGGAAATGGATCCAAGAATGCATGAATTTTTCCTAAAATTGAAAAAGGGATTAATATATGGGAAGCTCAGATGATAGCTTTTTCCTTCTCCATTGGAGGTCTAAGAACGTAATTACGATTGCTAATGAAGATAGGTTCCTGAAGATCAAAAGCTAATGGGATGGGAAGATGTTTCTCCGTACCAGAGGAAGTGATTGTTGTTAGAACTTGAGAAGAAGATTGTTGAAGTTAGGATTGCAGAAAAATGAAAGGACTCTTAGGGTTCAGAGAAGAATAACTTGGTGAAAAAGAAGAAAGAAATGAATGAGGGTTTATATATAGCTTGTGAAGTGAAACTTTTCAGTTTCCCCCTTTGATTTAAAACTCACTAATATTTGATTTTCAGAATAAATATTAATTAAGATTTGTTTTAAAAATGGTTAATTCTTGTGGCCCACAATGGCCTAGGAAATTGGAATCATAATGGTATTTCACACGCATGTTCTTAACGTGATGGTTTGGTGAAAGTGTGCATGATGACGATGATGTAAGCAATCATCCATAAATAGTGTCAAAGACTACTAAAAATGCCAGATTTCTTCCATATTACAGACATGATCGAAAGTGGCACTTTTAGGGGGCATCTATTAGCCTATAATTTTCAACACTGCACTAAAACCATAAAGTCTGATTTGGAAGAATCTCAGGAACAAATCCATATGATTAGGATCACTCTCTCTTCATACATGTCTAGAATCTCGAAAAGGTTTGCAGTGGGTTAACATTTTGACACGAAAATGTGATGTAAAATGGCGAGTTCGACTTGTTTGTCAGATGTTTTAGGATTTAGTATGTTTTTTGAGATCAAAGACTAGGTTATCTAGGGTCATTTTGACACCACTACAGGGTTCGACAGAGAAACTCCTCGATAATAGTAGTTTATAGGCAGTTTCAAAGACCAACATGTGGAAGCAAAAAAGAGAATAAAAGGCCACATAATGGTATACATGTCAAATGTTGAAGAGTAGACAGTTATGAAAATGTAGTATATAAGAAGACTTAATTCATGTAATAAAGGTTCACAATTTTTTTTATCAATAATCTCTATAGAATTCAAGTATCTAAGTCACACGGAGAAAAGAGTTTGAAGAGAACATATATGATATGCGCATCTCTTTTAAATTCTTTAATCATAGCACTTTATTTAATTGCTTTTATTGTTCTTCTTCATTTTACTTTAGTTTTTAGAACAATTATGTATTGTTCTTATTAGGATTTCTAACCAATTTCTTTACACTCAAATATCAAATACCCAAGCACAAATATGATTTTTCAAATCTTTTGGTCAAATCGTTCAAAGAATTTTTTTGTATTTAATCCCTTAAGTGAACGGAAATTTATAATTTGATTTACTAAAAACAATGGTAAACATGCGGTGACGTTTTCGATTAATTGATTAATGTTTGGATCTGTATTATTATTTGAATTTATATATGACATCCTTGAAATACATTTACTATAATTAGCATGGTGTTAATATATCCTTAGTGTAAATGACCAAACAAATATCAATTTGAGACACTTGCTGCCAAGGCAAAAACTCCCAAATGCTTTTAAGGGTTATTTCGAAGATACATATACGGAATCGTCTATAAAGAATTATAGAGATGTATTTCTAAACCATTTTTCGATAAATTTGGGATGGATGAATTACTTGTGAAACACAAAGTGTTTTCAGAAGTTAATTCAGAGATTCATCTTCGTAATTTTTTCGAAATGATTTCGCAGTTGCATTTTCATATTAGTTTTTGTAAATATTAGATAAATAACTCAGTTATGAAGCATTGTGTGTATTTTAAATGCGTCTGCATTTCTAAATTATAAAACAGGTAAATTCAAATTTTCAATGTGTTCATAAACTAATAGCCCTTACCTTATTGCATGGTAATTGGCCCAACATAATTACAATCCAAGAGACTTATTCTTTGAACCAATAAAAAACTAACCATTTCTTGTCGCTCTCAGCAAAAGAAACTTTATACGTGCCCTTTTTTATCAATAAAAAAGCAACAAATTTTGTTCTCTTTCCACATTTCTCAACAAAATAAAATCTTTAGACTTGTCTCTAGGCTTTGAGGATATGATAAGATTCTAATAAATCTATTTGACGATAAGATTCATGTAATTACCAGGAGCCACACTAATACCAAAGATATACTTTAACATCTAACAAAAATATATTGTGACCATAAAAAAATATAATTTCTCAACTAATCAAAAGAAACAAAAAGAAAATAATACATAAAAAAAATTTCAAACGATAAAAAATATATTGGAGAAAAGAAATCTATTTACTAATATAAGTATAATTTCGAACTGTAAAAATAATAGACTATGATTCGATTTCCACAACTGCGATCGGATGATCCTGAAACTACTTATTGTTAGAACTGATCATCGAATCGAATTAATCCGTTGAATGAATCGAATAGTAGTAGTATATATAAATTGCAAATCTTATTCAAACACAAATATGAATTTTAGCCTAATCACCATCACTAGAAAGACGATAAACAGGAATGGCAATTAGATGATTGGCTCTTGGCATTGTAAGGCCAAACTCCTCTGCCATGTCCAAATCACTTGGTAACATCTTGTTAAGCAATTCCCAATCAAAGCAATGCACAAGTTGCGCTACCACCAAACGAACCACAGTTAAACCTAGTTGCAATCCCGGACATCCTCTTCGACCAGAACCAAATGGTATGAGTTGAAAATCTTGCCCTCGAAGATCTACATCACTTCCTTCAAATCTCTCGGGCCAAAACTTCTCCGGATCTTTCCAAGCATTCGGGTCTCGCATAATTGACCATGCATTCACAATGATCCTTGATTTTTTAGGTATGAAAAAGTCTTCAACCTCGCAATCTTCTATAGATTGGTGCGGTATTAAAAGAGGTGCCACTGGATGAACTCTAAGGCTTTCTTTTATAACCATGTCTAAATACTCCAACTTATTTAAATCTGATTCATTCACTTTTCTCTTCAAACCCACCACAGTTTCTAACTCTTTTTGCAATTTTTTCATCACTCTTGGATTCTTTAGTAGTTCCGAAATCGCCCACTCAGTTGCTGTAGCAGACGTATCCATTGAACCCGCCAACATATCCTACACAAATGAACTTGTATTATGTTAATCATTAAATAAATTCAAAGAAATCTTCGGGAAAAAAAACATTCATAACAACATTACCAGCATAACGGCTTTGATATTGGGTCGTTCAATACGATATTCAGATTCTTGAGTGCCAAGAAATTCCAACATGACATCTACAAAATCCTTAGTCTTATCATCTTTATTGCCAAATTGAATATGTTCATCAATTATTTTCTCAAAAAAGTCATCAAAGATTTTTCCAATTGCCTTCATACGTTTAGATAGTCCTTGTAAATCAAGTAATCCAACATAAGGAATATAATCAGCAATGTTAGGAGTAGCTGCTAAATGCATTCCCTCTTGTATCACAGCCTTAAACCCTTTCTCATCCAAATCTTTATCCGCATACTTTTTCCCAAACACCATTCTACAACTCATATCAGCGGAGAGTGAAGAAATCTTAGCACTTAAATCAACTTTTGTTCCATCGTTGGATTTTTCTCTTAGAAACTTTATCAACAGGTCAAGTTCTTGTTCCCTCATGGGTCTAAAAGAGTTGATTTTTGTATGGCTCAACAATTCTAAAGTGCACATTTTTCTCATGTTGCGCCAATAAGAACCATATTCACCAAAACTCAGATTCCTTTGTTCCCAAGAGATGTGTTTCGATGCCTCAGTTGGTGGTCTACTAGCAAAAACAAGATCATGAGTTTTGAGGAAAAGCTCAGCTGCTTGAGGTGAAGAAACAACTATGGTTGGTACTAAGCCTAACTTTAAGTGCATGATGGGTCCATATTTTTGGGATAGTTGATGAAGATCACGATGAGGGTTTGGTCCTAATTTGAGAAGGCTACCCAAAATTGGTAAACCTTTTGGACCTGGTGGTAGTTTATTTGTATTTTTCTTGGTTCTCCATAGCCATAGAAAAGCAAGAGAAAGTAGAAAAAATGCTAAATAAATGAAAATCATGATAGCTATGTTGAAATTGCTTTTGCTAGAAGTTATTGTATCTCTGGTGCTAAGTGCTCAAAGAGGGGTTTATATAATCAAAGTTATGAAAGCAACTTGTGTGTTTGACAAAAAACTTGCTTAGTAGTATTCAATATGGAAATAACATGATGAATGAGAAGAGTTGTAGCGTTGTAGAGAATTATCTCACCTATTGGCATTCAATGTTTGCAGTAAAGTTAAATGACTCGGCCTGCACACAACATTGGTCACTATCACCTAATCATTTTGGACAAAGTACTAATTATGCTACACGGCAATTCATAGATTAGTCAACTATAGCTTAGTGTTTCACGATTTTTGAAAAATTGCATCGAAGAAATTATATGATCGAGTCGTGGACTAAATCGTTTTATTTAAGACTTTTCGCAGACTTGATTAAAATTGTGTGAGATAATCACTCAAACACGATTCATCCATGATAAAATAATCAATTTTATATTACTTGCGGTAGATAATCGATTTAGAAATACATTTTCTTATGGCGCAGAGACTATTCGAATATGATATAAATACTATTACCTCTGTCTCATAATAAATATCTTATTTAAATTGTGGGTGATTCTTATTTAAGACGTTTCACAATTCTATTTAAGATTGTGCAAAACAATCACTAAAACACTATGCCTTCATAATAAAACAATCAAGTTTTATACTATTTTTGGTAGATAATCGGTCTAAAATTGCACAATCTTATGACATAGAGATCATTCGAATATGATATAAATATTAGTATCAGGTATAAAGATTAGTCGTAATAATTTCTTTCAAATAATTTTTCATAGAAAATTCAATAATTCTCAGAGTGTGTTTGTTTCATGGATTTAAAATTTATCTTAGGAATGTGAGGATGGAAATCATATTCTCACGTTTGTTTTAAGTTTTATCAAATTATACTCAGGTATCTTTTATTCATAAGAATATGATTTACTCATGACTTTTGATATTTTTTATTCTCATGTAAAAGAATCTTACATTTCCATAGGAATAAAAGATAACCACCTATAACCTCTCACTCTAAATTCATTTAACTCTTTTATATTTTTTATAAAGTAAATTAAATATATTTTATAAATATTTCAAAAAACTTCAATTATTTACCAAACGCACCCTCATTAGACCACTCAAAATGATTTTTCAAACATAAAGAAATTTCAATAATTCTTCAAAGAGAATAAAAAAAATAATACTTGATAATTTCTCAACTCAAACAATGAGAAATTCAAATAATTCTCTAAAGAGAATTCAAGAAAATACTCGAAAAATTTAACGAGTAAAAAGAAATGGGGAGAAGTTGGCGCTTCAACAATTTGAAAAACGTAGAGTATAAAGAGTGACGAAAGAAAAACTAAAGAAATTTTTGATGTTTTTTGAAATGAAATAAGTTAGTTAATGTATCTAATCTAAACAACGTGGGATTAAAAGAGATTTTTCAACTAACACCACACAAACACACTTATTTTTTCTAACAATGTGGAACTTATGAATTTTGTTTCAAATTCATATCCATATTAGAATATTGACATGTTACAACAACCCCCCATTTGAATTTAAAAACAGAGGTGTCTAAGATTGTGTATACACAGATGTGTCAATAGCTTGAACCTTTATGTAGCAAGTAAGATTGCAATTCAAAAAGAGTGACACAATTGTCTTGTACTCTATCTCAGACCAAACTCGCACACAACCTTTTCTTAAAGTGTATTATAAAAGTACGCGCTTTAATGGTTATACACTTTTATCCCAATTTAGTGAAGGCCCTAGGAATTTTGTCTTAAAATTTTAAAGGAACTGACCTAAGTTTGACAATCTCACATATGAGCATATCAATAGTACTGATGTAGCTAGGTATTCTTTCATACATAGTATATATCTCATTTAGAGTTTCTATCATCTCATCCTATTATCGCTTCAGGATTCATATTTCTCTTATTTATACTAGCATGATCACCTCGTATTACTCACAACCTGTAATAACCCATTGAACATATTTCTTGGGATCTCTAATCTATTAGGTTGGTTACCATCATAAGCAAATAATTTCTCTATAGGCATTAGTCTCGTCTTCTAGGATGCATCTCAACCAACTTGCTTCTTCACTAGCAGTCGCTAACACTCTCATTTCAGGCTCCATTGTTGAGTGCGAATATGGAAGTAGAAAATGAGTTGCGAGCGGAAGGTTTGATGCAAAAATAAAAATTATACAATTTGAATATTGATCAAGTCAACACGAATCGATTAACAAATATCAAAGATGAATAATAATGAAATGCTTGGTATAAATTGATTCAATTGCGTAATGCACGAGAAGTGTTTACACAATTGATTCAATAGATGAATTTGTTTTCCGATTATTAATCACAGAACTAGCTAAACCAGTTATCCAAATCCAACAAAACTTATGCTTATATAATAAATCGCTATGAATGAACAAACGATATAATACGACGAAATTGAAAAACCTAAGCATGCAATCACTATGAAATTAAAAGCAAGAGAGAGAGAGGGGGGGAGAGAGAGAGAGAGAGAGAGAGAGAGAGAGAGAGAGAGAGAGAGAGAGAGAGAGAGAGAGAGAGAGAGAGAGAGAGAGAGAGAGATGACACTGAGATTTATAGTGCTTCGATGTTCGTCCTCGCTTTGTCTACGTGCACTCTTCAATGGTTTTCCATTGGAACCTACATAGTTCCTTTTTTATTTGACAAATATTTTCAAGAGTTCATACAATCACCAATCCATAATATAGCTAACGAAATAAATCCCCTATTTGGATCTTCACTTGTATACAACACATTTGCCAAACTCTTCCACGTAATCTTTTCTCGAATTATGTTTCTTGAATCTTACAATAACACTAATTCTACTTTAAGTATTCATATGTAGAAATCAACCCCTTGATCCTACCAATTCTTTGAGCGGTGAAATTGTCGAAAGATCTGAGAAGAACTCTTCCTTATTCGTAGCCTCCCACACAGTCACTACTAAGGAAATTCTGGAGAGAATAACCTACTTCTTTTCAATGGAATTTGTCACCACCACTGACAAACACCTGAATCTTGCTAACAACCTGAAAACTCAACGATATATCCAAGAACGATTAGTTTCAAGGACGCGCCTCCATCAATCAATTACAGAACTCTAGTTATCAAGATCTGAACTTAATTGAAGTTGAAGATGCAAGAATTTTACAAGACTTTGAAAACTCAAAACAGAGAAAATTGAATTTTTACTAAATCACATTGAAAGTTATGATCAGAGTGATAAATGTTATGATGAGAAATGATGACAAAAAGCTTTTAAATGTATTTGAGATTGAACATACAAAATGGTTAAAAAATTCAGTTAGATTCGTATCAAGGACAATCTATAATTTGAATCAAATGAGCAAGTGTAGTGGAATAAAAAGAAAACCATAATTTTAAAAACTTCCAATTCATTCGAATCAAGGAAAGGGATATTTGAATCAAGAGCCATGTGATTCAAATCATGTGAAAATATTGACTTAAATCAAATACCACATCCATGACAGAGAATTTATTGAAAAAGTGAATTATTTGAATCATGTACAAAGTATAATTTGAATCAAATCAAACATAAATGGTCACCAAGAAAATGATTTGGATTAAGTGAAAATTTTGATTCGAATCAAATGACTAGGTTTTACTTCTGTCCAATTTGATCAGAATAAAAAATTCAGTGTAAAATAAATGATTTGAATCAAACATGTAAAACCTCAATTTTTAAAATCTTAAAGGCACTGTGAGATTTTACTTTGAATAAAACTTAAACCAAAAACATAAAAAAATCTATTCCACTTGCACATGTGTCGCACCTCGAAAAATCACATTCGAAAATACGACCCTCGCGCGAAAGGCGCGGAAATGCGGTTCGACAGAGTCGCCACCGAACTTTATTTTTCCCGAACAAACGGGAGAGGAAAATATCGAGAAAACCTCTTGAAACGAAAGGATAGGAACAGGGCTGTCGCAACCAAGTTCCGGGTTCGGGAGTCGGTTACGTGAGGGGAAGGTATTAGCACCCCTCACGTCCGTCGTACTCGACGGGAACCTCTTAAGGTAATTGCGGGGAGTGTTGTTTAGGTTTACTTGTTTTCTTCTCGTTCGTTAAAGGTAGAATTGGTAGGTTAAAAGGTTAAAGACGCGAAGGAGAGATGAGTAGTTAGAGAAAAGGGTGCTCGCCAAGGATTGGGGCCCTTGTGCCTACGTATGCTCATTCGGACGAGAATGAGAAATCAGAGCGTCGTAGTTCGACTACGGGAAAGGATGGGGGGAAACGGAAGATGGATAGGAGTGTGCTCGCCAAGATCATCGCAATCTTGTGCCTACGTATCTTATATTCAAGAATGAATAAAGAATCAGAGCGTCCGTAGTTCGTGGAGACGACCACGAAAAAATGAGGTTTGAATTGGTTTGACGTTGAGTTGAGAGACGAAAGAGTGACTGACAAACAACCTAAGGGCGTGCCTCAAGAGCTTGTCACTCAAAAATTCAAGGAATGCGAGATCCCAGGAACTCAGTTCTTTCGGAAATTGGGTTGAATGTGTTGAAGATAAGAGTTGGATATTTTGAAAATGAAAGAATGAACTAATAACAACTCGGGGGCGCGCCCAAGAGCTACTCGTTCGAATATTCAAAGAATGCTAGATTCTAAGAATATCCCTCTTTCGTAAGTTTAAAAATGTGTTTGTGAAAGGATCGAATCGAAGAATGGCATGCGAGGCCAAAAGGGAATTGTTTTGAACTGGTTCGACGACGTGTCGAAGATTTGATTGAAGATGGAATCGGCTTGACGACGTGTCAAGGGTTAAGGTTGTGAGAAACGATATTAGTCCCTGAGGGTGCTCCTAATATCGAGACCACGAGGAATTATGAGTGAAATGGGTTGCGAATACGGACGAGCAATTGACTCAGGAGAATATTGAGAATGATTGAGTTTGAAAAAGT